GCCCCTCCGGGGGCGCCTGTACAGCCCGCCACTGCCAGGGTCCTGTGATCCACAGACAACTTCCCTGGGAGACGCATGGCGCGCCTCAGGCTGGTGCAACGTCACGCCGGCCTCTGCCGTCGCAGGCTCGCCCCCCCCCCCGCCGCCCCCCCCCCCCCCCCCCGCGTGGGACTCTCTTGGACGGACAAGGGCAAGAGCTTTGGCAGACTCATTTAGTACTTTCTGATTTAGTCTTTCTGGTTTTTTTGTTGTTGTCTTTGTTTTGTTTTTGAAAAAGAATATTTTTGTTAAGTGTTCTTGTCATGGAAAATTTTTAACTTGCACACAAGTAGAGGGAATAGGGATACATCCCACGTACCCTTTACTCAGCTGCAGCAGGGATGATCATTTCACCCTTGGCTTCAGATGCTGTTTAGGCCAGGCCCCTGTGGGTGTCAAAGCGTCTGCCTCTGGCCTTGTCTTTCCACGGTCACGTTCTGTGAATGGGCTTGTCTTTCAGGTGCCGCCCTTTCTTCTCTGGACAAAGAGGGTCTGTCGGCATTAAGCTGGGCTTGTCTGAAAGGGCACAGGGCTGTGGTCCAGTTCCTGGTGGAGGAAGGAGCCAAGATCGACCAGACAGACAAGAACGGCCGCAGCCCCCTGGACCTGGCCGCCTTCTACGGCGATGCGGAGACCGTAGGTACCGCGGCGGCCACGCTCCCCACCTGTGCCAGGCGCACTGGGCTGCGTGGAGACTCGGGAGCTGAGCCATCCCCAAGTGTGCATGACTCTGGCCCCGTGTGGCCGGGGCATACGCGTGTGCTGTGGGGTGGCTTTCATTTTCTTCTAATTCTGTGGCACACAGTCTGTTCCAGAACTGGGGTAAAGATTTTAATACACTCTAAAGGCTTAAAATTCCATGATTACAAACTGCACCCACATACATGAATATGTGTACACACATGCATATGTCGTTTCATTTTCTTACAATTTCCATGTGAATAGAATGCCTGTATAGATCATTTAAAAATCACTTTTTTTTTTTACAAGTCTTAAAAATCACTTTTATATATGTGAGAAATTACTAATCAAATAATCAGTTGGTTTGTTTTTAAATTGATGTGGCTTTGTCTAGAAATAATAGAAAATGCTTTGGGCACTGTCTTTATCTCTTTGCCAAAGGCCCAAGTCTTAACTGAGGAAGGAAGGGATAAAACCTTAATAAACTAAAAACCACAAGATGTCTTTCAGGGCAAAAACCACTTTGTCAATGTCCATATCCCAGGCAACAAGCAGGTGCTGGAGGAATGTTCATTTCTCCTTGAGAATTATCATTTATGAATCATTACATGTGTCTAAGGTGAGGATTAGCTAGACAGACAGGTACTGTATTGCTGGGGGCCGTGGACCTTGGAGCAGAAGCCATCCCCACCCTGCACGTCTATGCCTGATGGTTTTACAAGGCAGTGATGCTACAGTTAAATAGTTTCAATTTCCTGGACATTATAAACTGTACTTAAATGTCGATTTTCAGAAACAGCTATTTAACTAAACCTCACATCTCCACACTTTTCTTTTTCAGCTTATGTTACATTACCAGATCCTGTAGTTTATCAACATTAGGGAAGAGTGAAGGATCTTAGCATTCTAAGAGTCATTTAAAAAAAATTTTGGTAAAAACACATAACATAAAATTTACCGTCGTAACCATTCCTAGGTGAAGAGTTTAGTAGTGTTACATACATTTCACATCGTTGTGCAGCCAAAGTCCAGGCTTTTTTTGTCTTGTAAAACTGAAACTGCACCCGTTAAACAATTACCTCGTTACCCCCGCTCCCGGCAAACACCTTTCTACTTTGCATCTCTGTGAATGACAGCTCTTGGTCCCTGAACACAAGTGGAATCATACAGTATTGTCGTTTTGTGACTGACATATTTCACTTGGCATAATGTCTTCTAGGTTCATTCATGTTATAGCATACGTCAGGATGTCCTTTTTTTTTAAGGCTGAATAATATTCCATTTATGTGTTTACCACATTTTGTTAATCCATTCATCCATCATTGGGCACTTGGGTTGCTTCCACCTCTTGGCTATTATGAGTAGTGCTGTTACGAACATGGGTGTGCAGATATCTCTTCGAGAGCCTGCAGATTTTTCGAGATCTATCCATTCTTTTGGATAGATACCCAGATGTAAGATTGCTCAATCGAGGAATAATTCTATTTTTAATTTTTTGAGGAAGCTCCATGCTGTGTCCATAGTGGGTGCATCATTTTACATTCTCACCAAAAGTGCACATGGCTACCTGTTTCTCCACACCCTCTCCAGCACTTATTTTCTGTTTTGTTCTCTTTTTTGATAGCAGCCATCCTAACAGTTAATAGCTTGTTGTTTTGATTTGCAGTTCCCTAGTGATGACGAGCATCTTCTGACATGCTTATTGGCTATTTGTATATCACCTTTGGAAAAATATTCAGATCCTTTGCCTATTTTTTCTTTTTTGGGGGGTGGGGTACACGGGCCTCTCACCGTTGCGGCCTCTCCCACTCACGGGCCCAGCTGCTCCGTGGCATGTGGGATCTTCCCGGACCGGGGCACAAACCCGTGTCCCCTGCATCGGCAGGCGGACTCTCAACCACTGCGCCACCAGTGAAGCCTCTTTGCCTATTTTTTAAATTTTATTGAAGTATAGTTGATTTACAATGTGTTAATTTCTGCTGTACAGCAAATCGACTCAGTTACACACATATATATGTATGTGTATGTGTATATATATATATATATATATATATATATTCTTTTTCATATTCTTTTCCATTACAGCTTATCACAGCCTTTGCCTATTTTTAAATTGGGTTTTTGAGGTTTTTGTTGTTGAGTTGTAGGAGTTCTTTATATATTCTGGATATTAATCCCTCTAGTGTCATTTTGAACAGCTGGTGGACTGATAAGATCTACTAGATCCACATGAAAATCGAAGCAGGCTACAGACTTTTCCAGTGAATAGAGCAATTTTAGTGGCCAGCATGGTTTTCCCTGTTGTTCTCTGTTTAGTCCAAGTGACAGCTGTTTGATCACATCAAGGCAGTCTTTGTACCATGGTCTCAAAGTTGCCACCTTTACCGTCCCCATATTCAGGTCTCTTTCCTAAGTCTTAAAGTGAGTTATAATTGGGTCCAGTTGATCCTGGTCTTTCCAGCTTCTGTACCCAGGCTGTGTGGATCTGAGTGTTTCTGAAGTGCCATTGCCATAACCTGCCAGCACGTTGGAGCTATGGCAGAAGCCTGCCTCCTAAGTAACTGGAGATGAAAAGGTGACTGTGTCTCATCTCTGTGGCCTGGGAAGTGGGGTGAGACAGACAGGTGATAGAGTGCATGTACTATCTGTGGTCTACGGGTGCACAGACGCACGTCCCGCCCTGGGAACATCCACCTACCTGTCTCATTGCCAACATCAAAATCACTTTAGCAGAGCGGGTTTGAGCTGTGGATTGCAGCTCCTCTGCTCTGTTCTATGTCAACTTCATTTCCCTTCTAGGATCCCGTTAGGCCAGAAGCATCTGAGACCAGAGTGAAGCTAAGACCGCCAGCTCCTACACCAGCTACAGCGTCGGGCAAGGTGAGGGCTCCTGCTACCTGCGCCCTCAGGGCCTGTGTCTCCCTTTTGCAGGTGCTGTACCTGGTCGACAAGGGGGCCGTGATCGAGCACGTGGACCACAGCGGCATGCGGCCCTTGGACAGAGCCATCGGTTGTCGAAATACATCTGTAGTGATTACACTGCTGAGAAAAGGAGCCAAGTTAGGTCAGTAAACTCTGCAGTTCACCAGCGAGAGGGAGGGTGCTTCAGATTTTAGAGTACACGAGGGACCGTACGCATCTGCTTCCGGGTTAAGAAGTAAGATGTCAGGTGTGTGGAGATTTTTTTTGTGTCCCTCTCTAAGGCTCAGTTAATCACAGTCATTCAGAGTGTGTAAAAGACTCATATTATTACAGCCCACGTGGGCAGAAAGCAGAGGCCAGTGTTGAAGGACAGCCCAGCCCTGGGGGTGCTGGGGATGCGTGGGAGCCACAGCGGGAGCTGTTCGGGGGCCTCTGTGGGGAGGGCCTGAGGGCGGGTGGGCAGGAGCTGGAGGGCGGTTGTAATGAGCTGCGAGTGCGAGGACTGCTGTTAGGGAGGGGTGGCTAGTCTGCTGGGAAGGGCAGCGGCAACCCTAGCACAGGTTCTGGGAGGGAAAGCTCGCGGGGCTTACTGGAGACGAGACGGGGTGACTTGAGGATAATGTCAGGGGCCGGAGCTCTGAGGAGGTTGGAACATGGCCCAGGATTCAGAGTGCGGGGAAGAGTGCCCCATACGGCACTGTCTTTTCTGGTCTCACGCCAGACCTTTGGCTGCCAGCAGTTCTGGGGAGGGGACTGCGATGAAGGTGGTGAAATGACATCATTAAGCAGCTCGTGGTATCAGGAGCTATTCTGAGCAGTTGCATGTTTTAACTTATCTTATCCTCACCTACCCTATAAGTAGGGAATGATGAAAGCATCATGTTACAGAGGAGGAACCCCAGGCCTGAAGATGGTGAATAGCTCCCCTGAGGTCATAGTGCGCGGCAGGTCACCTTGAACCTGAGTCCGACTCCTGAGGCCGTGCCCTTAAGCGTTGCTCCCTGTGCGTGTTCGTGTTCGGAAGAGGCTTAGACAGAGGTTGTGGCTGTGCCGTCAGTCAGCCGGGAGAGAAGGAGACACAGGCGGGAGCAGGGAGGCCGAGGGCGGGGATGGTGGGAGGAGGGCAGCAGGGCCAGAGCTGGCGTCTCAGAGTGGATTCGGTGGTGACTCTGCAGCGAGTGTGAGAGACGCTGAGAAGCCTCGCCTCCACGTGCGCATGGTCCTGACAGCGCTGCAGGGAACTAAAGAGATGATTGGGAAGCAAATCCCCATAGAAAGGAGGGGTGGCTCGTGTCTGTGCTGATGCTTGCGTGTCCCAGTACTCTTGTTGCCCCAAGTGACAGGGTGTGCGGGGTGCAGCTCCCCGCTAAATGCTCCCTTCCCTTCGCTGTATTGTCACGCAGGACAATACACCTGCAGGACACGCTGCAGTGTCCTCTGCAGCTGGGTTCTCTGCTGTTTGTGGGCTTAGCTGTGACAGGGCCACGGAAGTATTGAGCTCCTTTGCTCCAAGCCCACTGGAATGCCTCTGAACACATGTTTATTTTGCAGGAAATGCTGCTTGGGCGATGGCTACTTCCAAACCTGATATTCTGATTATACTTTTACAGAAATTGATGGAGGAAGGAAACTTGATGTACAAAGTAAGTGGTGTCGCCCTTTTCTTGTGATCCTGTAAACAACCTGTGAGCAGCCTCTTAGTTTGCGGTATAATGGGTGTAGCTGTGCTACCGCACAGAATGCATATAGCTTAGCTAATAGAAGTTCTGGGAAGTGCTAACCTAGCCTCGTGCCCAGGCTTTGATATCCTCACAGCAGAATCTTCAGTGCGGAAAGCACTCCTCTTTGTGTTTGAGAACCATTACTTCTGAACGAATCCTTGGGGCTGTAACTGTGACTTACAGCCTGAAGCCTTGATACGAAGGCAGAGGTGCTTCTTGTTTAACAGGCGCATCCTACAGGAAATTCCTTGGTGCTTGGAGTCATGAGACATGGGAAAGGAACACTCAGGAGACATTTTCAGAAGAAAAGAATCATGAAATCTCCCAAGCCTTCATTATCTTAATTTTAATGTCTGTAAGCTTCTGGAATTTGAAACTGTTTCTGGAGAGATTTTTACTTAAAATAGTCAAGTAATAGATAATACTCAGTTACTCAGGAGGTGGAATTAATTTCTTTTTCTCTTTTTCCCTTAAAAATGGAAAGACAATTTAAAGATTAGTAAATTTGACTTTAAAGTAAAAATGTTCAAACTAACACATGCAGTTTAGATCAGAGGGCAGTACACTTCATCTGGAAAGAGCCAGGTAGTAACCATGTCCGGCTTTGCTCTGTGGTCCCTGTCACAGCCCTCCAGCTTTGCTCTTGTGGCACAGACGCAGCCAAGATAACACACAGACAAATGAGCCAGGCCGTGTCCCAGTCAAACTGTGTTTGTAGAAACAGGTGGCAGGCCGGGTTTGGCCCAGAAACCGTAGTTTGCCAACCCCGAGTTTAGAGAGATGCTCAGGCCACTTCCATAGATCATTTTTCTTTCCAGGTCTGTGATTAGACAGAATTAAAAGATGATGGAAACAAAAAACTACATCATGACCATTTTAATCCTTTTTGGCATGAAGCTGCTGTACTTTCTATGTTTTAGTTTTTCCTTTTCTTTTTTAATAACAACAAATAAATAGGCATATAGCATGACCCAGCAGGGTTCCTGGCCTGGAATCAGTTTGAAATTGAGTTCAGTGTGTATTGTTGTGGCTTTGAAGTGGTTTTAATATGAATTTTGGTAGGCAATTATTAGCCATTTTCGACAGACTTCATACCTGCTGTGCAACAGAACCAACAGAGCAAATGGATTTCTTTAGCCTTGAAAATGACGTGCAGTGCTGTGCTGAGTTTTAAAGCCCGTGCTTTAGTTCCTCTTAAAAGAAAAATTATCACTCTACAGCAGCTCTAGGTTTATCCACAAGACTCTGCTTGCTTTAGGGACGGCGTGGTTTTTCCATTTGATTTCTGTTACACTCTGCATTAAAGTATCTTTAGATGAGAGGTCATTCATGAAATGGTTGTCACAAATATGTAACAGAGAAGATAATCTGATGTTTTAATTAAGATTGATGGTTATGGGTTTGGCAATTTACAGATCCCTTCGTGTAAACCCAGCTCTGGTTGCAGACACCTAGGCGGACAGTGAAGCTGCGTGTCCAGGCCAGTCAGTGGACTGGTTCTGGCCGTGGCCTGTCCTCATCAGGATCTTTATTCATCTTGGAGCCTCTGGAAACGATAAATTTCTCTGATTTTTGAATCCTAGAAAGGGAAGATGAAAGAGGCAGCCCAGAGGTACCAGTATGCCTTAAGGAAGTTTCCTCGAGAAGGATTCGGAGAGGACATGAGACCGTTCAATGAGCTAAGGATTTCCCTCTATCTCAATTTGTCTCGCTGCCGAAGAAAAACAAATGTAAGCCGGGCCCCTTATTCCAGTCCTTTAGCTGTTCTCACAGTGGTGAAGGCCTGCCCTTCTACAGAGCAAATCATGAGACCTCCTGTCTGGTTTGTTTGCACTTTTCTGTGAACCTGGTGCATGGGGAGCTGCTTGTCTGGGGTGACCATCATTAGATCACAGCACCACCCACCTCCCAAGGTGTTGAGAGAGTGCACATGGACGTAGTTTCTCTGCCTCAGTGATGACAAGCACATGCAAACTGCTCCTCCACCGCTGCCCAACTGCACGCTGCCAGCACGAGCGGCTGTCCCCAGATTCAGAAGGAAAGGGCATCATTGTAAAGTTCACCACAAATGTGTTATAATCAGCTTAGTGTTATTACGTTCGCTCAGAGGGTAAGCCAGGAACTGGTTAATTTGTAATTAATTGTAGTTAACTCACAAGTTAACTTGTAACTAGATTTGTTTCAGTACCACTTTCTTTGTTTTTCTTTTTTAAACCTCATCCTCCCTCCACCAAATCTGTGACCTGCCTGCTTCTGTGCCCACGTACTCTGCCCACCTTCCCGCTGCAGGTGCTGCAGTGGCCGGGCCCCCCTGAGGCTCCCCCTCCCCCCGGGGGCGGGCTCCCATCAGCCCTCACCTCTGCTGTGCTGCTTCCACCACCATTCTCTCTCTCGAGTCACTGACTCTCCTGAGTCACCGATTTTTGCTTCTCTGTGGGATTCTTCTTGTAAGAACATTAATAAGCTATAACTGTCTCCTAACTTCGCAACAAGAAAACCAACTTACCTTCCCCTTCATCTCGCTCCAAATGTGTCCCACTTCTCTACTGACCTCTAGAGCAAAACTCTTATTAAAAGGTTGCCTGTAATCATGTTTCAGTGCCGCTTCTGACTTGTGTATTTAAATATTGATACCAGGACTTCGGCATGGCAGAAGAATTTGCTTCCAAGGCTCTCGAGTTGAAACCAAAGTCCTATGAAGCCTTTTATGCCAGAGCGAGAGCAAAGAGGAGCAGCAGGTACCGTCTGGGGTTTGATCTGTGACTGTGACTAGAGAAGCCTGCTTATCTTTCTCTGACATCAAAGCTGCTGCTTTGACTTTGGGGGCTTCTGATGCATGAGCATCACTCAGTGCCTCCCCTCCCCTGTAATACTGAACAGCTAGCTTCCAGAAGGCGCAGCAGTGGCTGTCATTAGCAATGGCTAAACTTTTTATTTTCTCCAGACATCTCAGTAACTATCCCCACAGTTGACATCTGCAACATAAAGTTCCTAGCTTAGTCCACGTTACCAGTGAGACCGCCAACTAGAGACGCCGGGAGGCGGCGGTGGGGAGGCTGGGTGGAGTCCATAGGTCTTGAGTTGTAGGTGGACGTGGTGAGAGGGTTGGGGAAGGTGACGTTAAGAGGATTCTGACCCCCACTGCTTTCTGCCTGCGCTCACCCCAGCCCAGTGGTCTTTATAGAGACAGCAGGGCCCCGGAGCCGCTCAGGTCTGGGTTAGGGTTCAGCGCTCCCACTTAGCCGAGGAACTCTAAGCTAGTTCCGTGGGATCCGTCCACACCGTGACTGTGCAGAACTCACTCAGCTACCTTCTCTTTTCTTTTAGCAGAGCTGCTTTATGAACAGTTGCATTCAGAGCTTGTTCTTACATGGCCTGTAATTATATCGTCTCTTTTAATATAAAGGCAGTTCACGGCCGCTCTGGCTGACTTGCGGGAAGCCGTGAAGCTCTCTCCCACCAACCAGGAGATCAGGAGGCTCCTGGCGCGCGTAGAAGAGGAATGCAGGCAGCTCCAGAGGAGCCAGCAGCAGAAGCAGCAATGCCCGCCGCCAGCGCCCCCCGCCGACTCGGACCACGAGGAGGACGCCCCGACCCCCGGCCTGAGTGACTGCTTTCACCTCGAGGAGGCTGAAGAGGGGGAGACTTCTCCACAGGAAGAATCCGTTCCCCTCGCTCCCAGGCCCCAGCCGCCCTCCTCTGCTCCCTCCCCATACATCCGAAACCTTCAAGAAGGGCTCCAGTCCAAAATGAGGCCGCTATCGCCACAGAATCGGCTGGGGATGAGCAAGCCCCCGAGGGAGCCGGTCGCTCAGCCGGGGCTGAGGGTGCAGCCCACCAAGCAGGCGCAGATCGTGAAAACCAGCCAGCACCTGGGTTCTGGGCAAGCTGGCGTGAGAAATGCTAGCTCGAAAACGCAGGTCTCTTCGCAGAATCCTCCCCCGAGTCCCATGCCTGGAAGACTCTCTGCCACCCCCGCCGCCGGAAGCAGAAACCAGCATCTGGAGGGAACAGGCACCTTCCCTGCGGGAGCAGCTTCTAGCCACTCGGGAGATCAGCTGGGGCCCAGCCCCAGCGTCCAGCTGCAGCCCAGTGAGGGTGATGCTGCATATCCTCTACCGAGTAAGATAAAAACTGCAGAGAGGCTTCTGTCTCGTGCCACCGTGGCTGTGGACGTAGCCCCTCTAAACCCAGGCGGGCCTGTGAGCTGCAGCGACGTGCGACACCCGGCTTCCCTCACCAGCTCAGGCTCTTCCAGTTCCCCGTCAAGCAGCATCAAGATGTCAAGTTCAACCAGTAGTTTGGCTTCAAGCAGCAGTTTTTCAGAGGGCTTCAAGGTCCAAGGACCAGATGCTCGAATGAAAGACAGGGTTGGTAGCCAGGCTCCGAGTGGCCCAGCTGAGCACAGGCCGCGCAGTACTCCGTTCATGGGCATCATGGACAAGACAGCGAGGTTCCAGCAGCAGAGCCACCCTCCCAGCTGCGCCTGGCACTGCGCGGTGCCAGAGGGGCTGCCGACGAACATGCCTTCCACGGCTGGCCTGCAGGCCTCAAGCTCTGAGAAGCCCTCTTTCAAACAAGCAGGAGGATACAGTAGCCAAGCCAAAACCCGTTCTGTGTCTACTCTGGGTGGAGGGGTCCACAACGGGGCCCAGGGGAAGGAGCTAGAAGAAAAGAAGTGCCAAATTCCAGTCCACTGCCAAGACAGCCGGATAACTAAGACTGTTTCTCATGCGTATCAGGAAAGTCTCTCTAAACAGCAGTCTCACATCAGTAGTGAAGCCCACAGGAGTCACCTCCCTTCAGCAAAACCAAAGCGATCATTCATAGAATCAAACGTGTGAGCCGTAAGGGAGACCCATGTGTGGTATTTGGGAAACGGTGCGCTGGCTCCTGGTAGTCATTAAATGGTTGTTTGTGAGAACAGTTACTCTTTAGTCACATATTTATTTTTCCCTTGGGGGTGGATCAGATGCCATTGATATATTGAAAATGTGGGATTAAATTTCTTTGATAGATAGAAGTCACCAGAAATAAGAATGCTAACCAGAATTGAAAACTACAACTAGTTATGCCTATTAAGTTAAAAATTTAAGGCAGCCAAGAAGACATTAACTCATGCTTCTCTCTTTTGAAATTGTTTGGTTTTTATCACTTTTCTCCTAGCCTTTGCTATGTGGTAAGATCATATTATTTCTTAGATAATGTAAATGTCTAGTGATAAGTTTAACTCATGACATAATATCCAGGTGATATGTTCTGGAAAAGATGGACTTTTCAAGTTACAGTTCCAATGAGTCAAATCTTCATTTATATATATATATGCACGTACACATACAGTTGACCCTTGAACAACATGGGACTTAGGGGTGCCCATCCCCTGTACAGTCAAAAATGTACAGTGTAACTTTTAGTCGGCCCTATGGAGGGTTCCACATCCTCGTATTCAACCAACCGTGGATCATGTAGTATGTATTGACCGGGGGAAAAAAAAATCCGTGTATAAGTGGACCTGCACAATTCAAACCTTTGTTGTTCAAGGGTTAGTGTGTATGTGCATATATATATATATATATATATATATATATATATATGAAAGACCTGAGTAATTTCTAGCTGAATGTGACTATACGTGTTATATGGCTCACTTTTTTTGTTTTTTAAGCAAAATATAAGAACATCCAAGTATTGTTCCCTTTATAGCAGTTCCCTTAAAAAGATTAAACACTTATTTCTGTGTTATGGTTCCTTTTTTTGGAACTATATTCCGGCTTCAAGGTGTTTTTAATATTTGGAAACAGTATAAACCATTTGGAATCATGATTGGTGGTGAAGTTGAATTTGGGCTAAAATACTAAGAATAACAGCATTCTCGGTGACATGTAAATTAGCTCTCAGTTGGTCCCCAAACTGCTTTTATCAATGATAGCACTCCTGGAACAAACCTTCCAAGGTCCTCTAATGACAATATTTAATTTGGATACTTAAGGTGTGGTTGGTTATTGCTTTCATTTTATTATAGTCATTACTTTATAGCCACATGTTGTATATATCATATAGCCAAGTTGTATTCAGACTTGTAAATATAACTATTTCAAGTAGTTAATCTTAAAGTCATATATTTGCATGTTCTTTTTAAGCTTTGTCCATGCTGGTTATTGCACTGAACGATAATATATATGGCATGTTAACAGTATACCAGTAACAGCACTTTATCTCATTTATATGAACACCTTTGAGGTGCTACTTAAGTCCAAACTGATGTATTATTCATTTGTAAAGATAAGGTACAGGAGTGAACCTTGATTTTAAAGGTATTTTTATAAGAAAATGGTGTGCTATTGGAGGATGTTAAAATACTAGTTTGAGAGAGGTGGTGGGAGTGTATTTGTATGTTGGGATGTGAAATTTATTTTCTAGAATTGGAGAGAAGGAAGTTCTATATTTACAGAATGTTTTAAAAATGAATAGTTGTAATGAAGTCCCTGTGAGCATCATTATGGTTTTGTACGAATAGGACTCTTCTGGTGTCATTCTTCATTTGTTTCTGAGTGTGTACAGTGTACTTTGTACAGCTTTGTCAGTCTTTTTTAGAGGCGTTTCATGAGTTCTGCTATAACTACTATGGCTTATTTATTGTTTATTGTTTTCTTTAATATTTGTGGAAGTCTTACTCTTTTGTTATGTAGTTTTGTTTCTGCACAACTACTGTACTTTTCCATATGGAATAAAGACAATTGATAGAATTTGTTTTGCATTAAATGAAACAATGGCTAAGTAGAGAAGATCCTGATGTCAGCTATCTGCCTTGCTTAAATCCGGAGTGATTTTATCCTAAAGAAGTGGAAAGCCTGTTTCTCAGTAATACTACAAATACATATTTAATTTTATTTAATAATTTCAGAACAAGGGTAATGGCTTCCAGAAATCCCAAAACATTCCAGGGTCAAAATTAGTCTTTTTGCCTGAAATGAGAAGAACGCATGAAGAGCATTCTATACTTCTCTGTTCGGAAATCCTGGAGTGTGGTTTTAGTGGTAACAGGGCATCTTCAGTATTTAACTCCCACTTTGGCAATACATACACTGAACACTGTGCCAGTGTGAAAGTTTGTTTTTCATATTTCTATTATCTTTGAGTTAAAAAGTGTTTGTCTTTATAACCACATATTTCAGTTTCAAAGTAGTATGAATGACTGTGAACATTAAACTGTTGTATTGTGATAAAATCCTGACGTGGAATCTTAAGCCTAAGTGACTTCAGGTTATTGTGTGGTTACTGCTATTACTAGCAAGGCCAAGCAAAGTATTTTCAGTCTCTCTTGAACGCTGTATATTTAAACTAAAGGTAAAAAACAAAAAACTGGGTAGGAGGGGAAAACTCTTATTAATAGATCATTCTTATTGGATGACTTCCTGTGATGCTGCCAGTGTGACCATTAGAATTTATTATACATTACATTATGATTTTGATAGATTCTTAGTAAAGGTATTTGGTCCAATTACCCCAGGAAGTGCAGTCTCCTTGGGATGCTACTGGTCAGTGCTGAGGACCGGGCAGTGGGCAGGCAGGTGAGGGCTGCTCCTGCCTAGTCCTGCACGGATGGTGGCCCCCAAGAGTGCAGAGGGGCCGTGTGGTGTCCTTTCCTATGGGTGAGTTTGGGTTTGGTTTATTTAGTTTGTTTGCTTGTGTTTGTGGGAAGGAGTAGCAGCTCAGCTTCGGTTTGTTTGTATATAAAAACAGATGCACTTCACTTTTGTAAATTGGCATCTTAGTTTTCAGCCATTTAACAAGAAACTATCCTAGTGAAAACGTAAAAAAGAAAATCACCTTCTTTAACACATTTAGCAAATAACCAACATTTACTGTTTCCTATCAATGACTTCAGTGATTTTCAGTAATTTTTATGTGGAAACCAGCCAGCCGCCTTTGGAAAATAAGTCTATTATTTTATCAAAACAAAAGATATCTGGTCCAATGGTGGACTCTATCAATTTTACCCAGTCTTTTGTTAGAATTATGTTAGCATACTTCCTCTACAGAATACAACAGAAAAACACCTTCTAGAACATGTTCCCATCTTTTGGTCCTCATGAGTAAGAATGTGAGCGGCATGTGTAGTATGAAAAAAAAAATACTCTTCTAGAATCAAGTATTGTGAATCCCAGCTGTGACACAAAGGAAATAAAATTCAGTAATACATTAGGATGACAGAAATTTTACAAAGCAGCAATTACAAAGAACAGGTTTTTGGAGATTTCTGTGGTAGCTTTCCACCCTTCTGTGAACATACAGCATATTAGCTATAAGTTTATAAAACATTAGAAAAGGCTGACGGAATAAATACTTACATTGATTTTTCCCTTTTATTTCTGTGTTTTCAAATTTCAGAACGACGACAGTGAGGATTTCGGGGGTAAGCACAGAGTCTTGGTCCCTGCCTGCCATTAGAGTTTAGTTCTAACAAGCTTTCCCACTAATGGCTTCCATTCTGGTAAACAACTTGTGAGACAAATGGAGAGTCAACACAACCTCAGCTTTCCGAACTTGAAGTTTTCTTCTGAATGTTTATCAGGGTGTTGTATTAGCTATCGGGTCTATTGTGTAAAAATGTATAGTCACCTTAGCTTAACCTATTATGTGAGAACTTTTAAGAATTCTAAATTGTAAAGGGAGGCTAGTTTGCCACTTTATATGTTTCAGCAAAGTCAACTTGATGTATCTGTGATAATTTATTCCATCTAACTCGTACATAGGTTTGGACAATGGGGGAAAAAATCATTACTACCTTGCAAACTTAGAATCTAACAAAATTGCTCATTAAACACGTCAAAGTGATTTTCTCAATTTAGTCATAAACAAATCTACAATTGTTTTGCTAAAAATTCTCTTTAGAAGGATTCCAAAGAGTTATCAAATGAACAGTTATTAACTAGGATTTATCTGTTATATTCTAGATTATTCCAATCTTTGGTTATAATGGAATATGATCCATAACAAGAATAAATTTGAGCATGGCAAATTTAAAGTTGTAAAACTTCTCTACAGGTTAGGCTTTTTGTCACTAGTATAAAAAGGCTTTTATAGTAAAAATAGAAAAGATGTTATATGTGTTACTTAGTCCCTATGTTTTAAAGAATGAAAATAGCCAGTAAATAGTTTTTATAGGTAAAGAAGTTTAAGTTTACCTTTCTCCTTGTTTTGCTTTTAGTAATATCTGATTAGTATCTACCTTTAAATCATTCAAATGAAATCACAGAAAATATAAATAATGCAATATAAAATAAATAGTTTTATTTTTGATGTGTCTCCAGCCATCGATCAATGGCCATTTTCAGAGTCCTATTTGGTATAAGTACCACTGAAGGAAGAACAAGATTTGTCATGGGACTTGTACGTTTCTTTTTGCTGATCCAATTTTCCATTGCTTCCTTTTCGTATGAATAGCCATCTAAAAACAAAACAAAACCACATACACAAATTAGTTGCAATGTAGGAAAGGGAAGTCAGGATTACTAAAATGGGTACAAAAACTCCATTGCCAAGGCCTTTACTGTAATTTAAGTGGTAGTCTTGTCTAGCACCACTGCTCCCAAAATATTTCTGCAACAACATCCTAAATTCTACCATTTAAGATGCACTAAGATTGCACAAATTACCTCGAAGAGTGTCAAAAAACTGAAAAAAGGACTGTCAAAAATTCAGATGTAGCACAAAGGAAGAAAGGAAACGAGCCAGGTAGAGGAAGGTGGTAGTGAAGCTACAGTGCCCTGCTAGTGCTGTCAGCTATGTGTCAGTTAATGTGGCTAAAGATGGGAGCAAAAAGCTCTGGGGATGACAAGGCAAAACTTTCCGACATGTTGAAAAGTCAGGGAAACAGATACCAAGAGATAGAGCTCACGCCACTAACGACTTGATAGTAAAGGAATTTACTATGCAAAAAAAAAAAAAAAAAAAAAAAAAAAAAAAAAAAAAAAAAATTCATTGGCTAAGGTTTTTCATACCATGTTCTTACAAACTTTTTTGCATGTGTTAAGGTTGGAGATTTTGCTTCACTACTTTTTTTATACTTGTAGCTCTTAAACTTAAAATCTTAGTTCCTAATTACATTTACACATTAACCTATTTCTTTTAATCTGCAATGCATACAACTGTTTCGAACTAACAATGCCAATATATTACTAATGTAAGACTGAAAGATTTTTAAGATTTCTTTCTGGCTCTTTCTGTCACCAAGATAGATCCACTAGGGTTATCTAATTGAAATCCTGTGTTTGACAATCACTTGAAAAAAAAATTTCTGATTATGTTACTGGACATATGTGGTCCATTTGCTTCCCTTTTTATCCTCCCAATTTTTAGAGACTGGTTTGTTTTTCATGGTGTATTTTAACATTTAAATAGTTTCAAAGTAAAAACTATAAAAAGTCACATTAAGAGTTTCTCTGTCCAACCCATGTTTTCTCTCCCTTCCCATATAGGTAACCATGTATGTTAGTTTCTGTTTACCCTTTCCTTTTGAAAATACAAGCAAATGTATGTGTACACACACAGTGCATATACATTCTTACATAAAAGTTAGCATGCCCCACACTATTCTGTACCTGGTTGGTTGGTTTTTCACTTAACTATACATTGCTTTTTTATTCCCCCACAGTACTCCCCTGTATGGATGTATTGATGGACATCTGGGTTATTTCCAATACCTTTTTACAAATAGTGCTGCAATGAACAGTGAGTGTTATCATTTGGGGGGAGATTCTAGCAGTAGGACTGCTGCATCAGAGAAAATGTATACAATTTTGTTAGAAATGCTAGTACTTCCACAGGAATTCTACCATTTTTTTCCCACTAGCAATGGCATTTAGAGTGCCTGAATCTTCCCCAGAGCCCAACCAAGAGAATGTGCTGTCAAACTGAATTTTTACCAGTCTCTCATGAGCAATGATACAGTGTATCAAGTAGTTTTATATTATGAGGGAGCTAGAACATTTCTTTGTATGTTTGAGCCATTTGCTTTTCATTTTCCTGTAAATTGACCGTATTTTTGGCTCACTTTTCGATTAGATTGTTCTTTATTTCAGAAGATTTATTTTTGAGATGTAACTGACAAAAGTTTCAGGCGTGCAGCATGATGATTTTTGCTCTTCTTTCTCCAGATTGCTTTGGTTATTTGGAATCTTCTGTGGTTTCATACAAATCTTAGGATTGTTTTTTTCTGTGAAAAATGCCATTGCGATTTTGATAGAGATTGCATTAAATCTGTAGATTGCTTGGGTAGTATGGACATTTTAACAGTATTCTTATCCGTGAGCACAGAATATCTTTCCATTTATTTGTGTCTTCTTCAGTTACCTTAATGTCTTGTAGTTTTCAGCGTACCGATCTCTTACTTCCTGAGTTAAATTCCTAGGTATTTTATTCTTCTTGATGCAATTGCAAATGGGATTGTTTTCTTAATTTCTCTTTCTGCTAGCTTGTTACTAGTATACAGAAACACAACTGATATTTATATATCAATTATGTTAACCTGCAACTTTATCGAATTGGTTGATCAGTTATAATAGTTTTTTGGTGGGCTTTATAGGGTTTTCTCTATATATTACATCATATGCAATAGAGACAAGTTTTACTTCTTTTCCAATTTGGATGCCTTTTCTTTTTCTTGCCAAAACGCTCTGGCTAGGACTTCCAATGCTATGTTGAATCAAAGTGGTGAGAGTCTGCATCCTTGTCTTGTTCCAGATCTTTGGAGGGAGAGATTTCAGCTTTTCACCATCGAGTATGATATGAGCTGTGGGCTTGTCATATATGGCCTTTATGATGTTGAGGTAATGCTCTCTATGCCTGCTTTACTGAAAGTTTTTTTTATCATAAATGGATATTAAATTTTGGCAAATGCTTTTCTGCATCTATTGAGATGGTCATATGATTTTTATCCTTCATTTTGTTAATGTGATATATCACACTGATTGATTTACAGATGCTGAATAATTCTTGCATCCCTGGAATAAATCCCACTTGACCATGGTGTAGGATTCTTTTAATGTATTGTTGAATTTGGTTTGCTGATATTTTGTTGAGGATTTTTGCATCTATGGTTATCAATGATATTGGCCTGTAATTTTCTTTTCTTGTGGTGTCCTCGTCTGGTTTTCTTAAGAGTAATACTGGCTTGTAAAATGAAGTGTTCCTTCCTCTTCTGTTGTTTGGAAGAGTTTGAGAAGGACACCTTCCTCTTCTGTTGTTTGGAAGAGTTTGAGAAGGACTGATATAAATTTTTTTAATGTTTATTTCATCCATGGAATATGAACACTTTTCAATTTTTATACTTAATTTCTTTTGGATTTTGGGTCCAGGTTAGGAAGTATCCCTGTTTCCAGGTTATCAAGTTTACCTACATTTTTTTCTGGGACTTGTAAAGGTTTCATTTTTTATATGTCTAATTCATTTGGAATTAATTTAGATGTGTAGTATGACAGATGAAGCCAGTTTTATCCTTTTCCATATGACAGTACTTAGTTGTCAGAATACCCCTTTTTAAAATTCCTTATTTTTCCCACTGATTTAAAATTTCATGTTTATCATTCACTAAATTTCCAAATGTACTTGGATCAATTTCTGGATTTTTAAGAATTATTTTCCATTAGTCTGTCTATTCATGTGCCAATCTCACACTGTATACTTTATAGAGACTTTATAACATGTTCTAATATCTGGTAGGGCTCTTTGTTTTTTTATTATCTAGGTTATTTGTTGTGTGTTCTTTCCAACGGAACCTAATAATCACCTTCTGTATTTCTAGGAAAAAGCCTAATAGTGACATCTTGCTCACTATGAGTCTTCCTATCTATTAGTGTGCTATGCTTTCCATTTTTTTTCCAAGTAAACTTTACAGGGATGTTTTATAGTGTTTTGTTTTTGTTCTTGTAAATTGTCTTCCATCATACCTTTTAACTGCTTTTTGTTTACAAACACACGCGCGCGCACGCGCGCGAAGGCTATTGATTCCTCATTGATGTAACTTGCTAAATGCTGATTAGCCCTATTAACCTATGGTGCCTCAGCTCCAAATCCATATATAATGCTGAGGACTCAGCATGCTGGGAGCCAGGATACTGTAAACCACATTTCTGCTTTGCCAGCTGGCTCCTTGTTAAATCCTGCAATAGGATTTCTCTAGAAGGAGACAAAAACAAGGTGAAGGCTCCTATCAGTGTTGTGCCTGGTCATGGCCCTTTATCTGGCAGGGGTAACTGGTTATACTCTCCAAATTTTTTTGTACTTGCTTCATTGTAGGTACTGCCCAAAGCTCTTACCCTTCCCCCTTTAGAGAAAGAAGCACCAGCTGGGTAGCTCCCCCTTCTTAGAAGTCTGAGTTCTGGTTCTGAGAGACCAACGTGAGGTTCTAATAACCTCAACTCATTCTCTTTGTTCCCTGAGTCCTAGGGAACATAGATGCTTTCTGCAGATACTGTTACCACCTTTTGTTTTTGAGATATAAGTCACATACCATAAAAGCCACCCTTTTAAATATACAATTCAGTGGTCCTTAGTATAATTTACAGAGTTGTGCAAACATCGCCACTATCTAATTTCAGAACATTTTCATCATTCCATAAAGAAACTCTGAACCTATTAGCAGTCATTCCTCTCCCCCAGTGACCACTTATCTACTTTGTCTCTACGGATTTGCCTATTCTGGACATTTCCTATAAACAGAACCATACAACATGTGGCCTTTGTTGTCTGGCTTCTTTCACTTAGCATAATGTTTCCAGGGTTCATCTATGTAGCATGTATAGTATCTGTTCCCTTTTATATCTGATTAATATTCCATTGTGTAGATAAACCAGATTTTTTAATTTGTCCATCCAGTGATGGGACATTTGAGTTATTACCACTTTTTGGCTATTATCAATAAGACTGCTATGAACATTCAAGTACAACTTTTTGTATGAACATATTTTCAGTTCTCTAGGATAAATATCTAGAAGTACAACTGTGTGGTCACATGGTAACTATGTTTAACTTTTTGAGGAACTGCCAAACTGTTTTCAACAGCAGCTGCACCATTTTCCATTCCCACTAGCAATATTTCTGCATCTCCTTGCCATCTTCCATCCTTTTGATTCTAGTCATCCTAGTGGGTGTGAAGGTGGTATCTCTTTGTGGTTTTGATTTTCACTTCCCTAATGATGTTGAGCACCTTTTCCAGTGTTTATTGGCCATTTGTATATCGTCTGTGGAGAAAGGTCTATTCAAATCCTTTGCCTGTTTTTTCAGTTGGGTTATTTGTCTTCCTATTGAGTTGTAAGAATAGTTTCAGTAGGAAAGTATACTCAATTTTTATTTATGCAAAGCTGATATATAATGAACCGGAATCTTACGTATCACACTGGCCTCTGAAAAATGATGGGCGTGTGAAATATTGTGAGTTCAGTGACAGCT